AAGTGTCCAGTTATTCTGGCAGGATTGTGACCAAGGCACGATACTGTGCCTGTGTGCATTTACACTGTAATTATGAATGGTTTGTGCTGTGAGACAGTGTGCTGGCTTCAGTGCTGCCTTTTTGTTATAAATACAGCGTCTTCTGGGCTGTTGTTTAAAGACTCCTTTGGAAGCCTGATTTAATAGTGGAGCTGAGTGAATAATTCAAAACCTTTTTATCAAGTTCTTGTTTAAATTCTTAAATGAGCTCACCATAACCTTTTTATGTACCCCTCCTGCATGTGTCATACAAATATTAGAATAATTGAGTTTTACTAGTGCAAATGTTTCTGTGAAGCAAATTTTTAGAGCTTGATGTATGACTGTTTATGGAAAGGGGAATGTTAAAATCTCACACACCAGTGCCTATGCCAGAAACTTATGCTGGCTTACTTAGGAAAAGGGTGGGGGGGTGAGACCCTCAGCTTTGTTGGAGCAGTCCTAACTGATCTGGTTTGTCAGATTGACTTGTTTGCAGTTTAAAAACTGAACACATGTATTTAAAGGAATTTCAGCTATATCTCTCTTACAGGCCATTCTACTAACAGTAGCAGTACTTAGTTTTAAAATATTTGCTTTTTTCCAGATAAGTACTGTTTTGATTCTTTCTCCTTTTCCCTCCCCTTTGTATGAAATGAACCAGCACATTCAAAATGCATCTGCTTAGCATCACTGAGTAGCTTAACAAAGGGATGCAGATGAGAGAAAATCCATAGTTATCTTGCAGGTTGCATCATTCCTTGGCTTGAAGTCGAGTCCAGGCTGGAGGAGAGCCTTGCAGATAGGTAATTTGAGTGGATTTAGCATGCCTATTCACATGTATTAATGTTTGCAGACTTGCTTGGTGAAAGCTCATTAGTGTTAAGTCACTTTTGAGTACTGATGGTCTTTAAAAGGCAAATGAAAGCCTTGCAACCCGGATGCCTGCAGAACTGGCATCCATTTGTCTTCTGCTTCTGAAGAAAAATGGAAGACTTAAAAATCTGAAGGCAGCTCAAGAAGCAGGAGTTGAGGATTAGGCAGAGAGTTGGGAGATGCTTTTTCTCAGTCAAGAATTGTTGCTTAATTAGTTACAAGAATTTAGTCAAGGCTGTTTATTCTGTTTGCAGACAAACCTTCTCCTGTGCATGCTCTGGCAGTCCTCTAACCTTCCTGGCAGCACTTAGCGTGTGCTGGGAGATGAGATGGAAAATCCTTCCTCTTTCAGTGCGTCAGGAGTTTGCAACGCCTGATTTGCATGTGCAGGGTTTGCTCTCTGAATTTTGGATTTCTTTGCTGAATTTCCTCTCTGAACTCTGCTGCAGCTGCCTTTAACAGTCTAAATGTTGTTACCACAGAGCTGCCCTGGAACGCACTGAACTCCACTGGTAATGCCACATGCCCCTGCAATGTGTGCAGAAATCTGGAATTCAGGCTGATGTGACAATGAAACTACTATTGAAATCTTCCATTGCCTTCAGTCACAGCTATTCCAAGTGTAACTACTGGCACTACAGATGCTAGAAACTGGACATCTGTATATCCATACCCAAGCCTATGAGAAACAGGAGGTGGTCTTTAGAAGTAGGAACTTTTAGGTTTTGGGGTTATAAAAAAAACCCCAAACCGACCTCCAAACCCTGGCATCATCACAACCAGCTTTGACTTTGCAGAAGGAGGGCAGTGAAATGTAAGAGCCAAGTAAACCTGGGTTTTTTTTTTTGCTTTCCTGAAATTGTCATATGTTTAGAGTCATATTTTCACTGAACAAAGTGAGTTGTATCCAGCTGTGTATCAGTGGGCCTGGGCCTCTGGTTGTGGTGTTCTTGTAGTCTGTCAGCCTGGGTAGGAAGAGTGTTCAGACTTGGTCTGACTCCATTGCAACATTGCTGCAGTTGGGTCTTTATTAAGCTGAAAAGACCAAGGAAAATCTCCTTCATGTCTCTTCATTTCCTTGTGATGCAGTATCAGCTCTAACTTGCCACTGTGGGTTCCTTGGACGTGAAAGCAAGTGGGAAATTTTGGGTGGACTTTTGCTTGTTTTAAATTAAATATTGGTGTAACAAGAGTTGTTTTGTGACAAGAAAGACCCAACAATCTTACCAAACATGCAGAACAAGCAGGCTGTGTCTTGTCATCCCATTACGACATTCCCACTGTAGGAAACACCCTTTGTGCTTTGATAAATTCGTCCTTATTCAGAGTGTGAAACTGCAGATTAACATGTAAAATTGTTTTTTTGTGCGTTGGAGATTTCTAACAGTTTGTTGTCCATTCAGATTTGTGTTGCAAAGTGTCTGTGAAGATCGGGGAGCAATATTACCTTATTTATTGTGGGGGGAATCTGAGACTTGGCGGCTTTTTCTGAGGTACCCATGAAATGTGAGTGCTTGCAGTGTTTGCTGTAGTTTGTGATTGAAGTTGGTGGTTTCAACAGGCAAGATCCCACTGCAGCGGGTGCCAGCTGAGCTTTGCCTGAAGTGATGTGTCTGAAGAGATGCAGGCTGGGGTGAGAGTAGAAAGAGGCTGCTGTCTCCTCATTCCCTGATTCTTTGATCACTGAGAAGAAATTATGTGTAATTATCTGTACAGTTTGTGCTCAAGTTTTGTCTAGTATATATAAAATAACCTAAAGGAGGAGGTGGATCAAAATAAGCTCTGGATTTTGTTGTAGCTTGATGCTTTTTGATTGCACATGGATATTCTGCAAGGCAAGAGTTAATTTGTCAGCCTTGTCTCCATTTACATAAGTACAATTGGTACTTTGGTACTTCACCCTTCCTATAGTGACCTGTGAACCGTCTCTGTTGGGTCTTCATGCCATTCTAGATTTGGTTATTCCCTCTTTCTGCCCAACAGAGATTTACACTCCATCCTTGTCTAATTCAAGCTGGTGCCTTTAAGTTTTCCCACTCACATAATAGTGTGTTAAAAAAATATATATATATAATTTTTACTGGTATTTATCTCATTTAGTGTTTTCAGAGGGGAAAACAGTTAAAGACTTGATGTGTATTTGCACTGGATGGAATAATGATGAGATATAGCTGAGTTATTTTCTTTCTTTTAAAGCTGCTTGTGATTTTCTGCTGTGGATATTTTGATTTTTGTTTATTTTGCTCCTTCGTTTGGAGAAGAATAGTCTGGGAGGAGAAGGAAGAGGCAGGGTTTAGCCCTGAAACCATCACTGTTAGCCCTAACTTCTGGTAGAGCTTTGCTGCTTTGGCTCGACCCCTTTAAACTTGAGTAATGTGTTTTTGTTTGCATTTCCATCTTGTTGCATTTAAAAACTACTCTAACTGTACCAGATTGTTTGAACATTAATGGGGGAATGTTTTTCAGAGACTGATAGAGTTTCCAGGCAGCTTTTCATCTGCCAAGTAATGTACTGGTGAGGTTTTGCTTGGTTTGCTCTAAGAATCTGCAAAGCAACTGTTCAAAATTGCTGACACATGTTAAGTAATGTGGAAATCACCATCCTGCCCCATTGAAGTCTGAGTGCTCATGTCGACAATAAGAACAAGTTCTGACCCTGAAAATGATATGTGAACAGTCTCAATCTGGAGACCATTTCTAGTGTCTTCCCTCTGACTCTGGCTAGTTTATCCTTTGGTCTTAGGTATTCTATTTTTAAAAAAATTATTTACTCAAGCTCCCAAGAAATACCACATTCAGTCTTGTCCATGTATTTTTGAATTATTTAACCACATGTGCATATTTGATGATGCCAAATTCAGAGTAAAATCTCAATTCTGTAGTTGAGTATCAGGAGAGTTAATGCTACTTCTAACAATAATGGTAGTTGTATAATGCTTATTTAATAAGAAATCCGTCATCTTCTACCTCCCTTCTCCAAACCTCTAGTTTTCAGCTTTGGAGCAGCTGTAATCAGCCTGTACAACTTCCCTTCCTCCTCTCATGAATAAATCCAAGTACCTTATCTTCTCTATCGGAAAGTCTTCCCTGGCTTTAGCAGCCTCTGGAGGAGGGTATAAAAGGGGCTTTCACTGCTAACAGGAAGCGAAATGAATGGAGGAACTTTTGATAATGCCCCGTCTGTCTGAGCGGGGATCAGCCCGACTAAATTGCAGCAGATTAGTGAATGATAGTGCTTCAGCTGGGGCCAGAATTATAAGTTTTTAATCTTGGAACAAGCAATGATTTCTTCCTCCTAAACAGTGGTCAACTCCCTCTTTGATTTGGAGGCTTGCAGTCATCCATATTCAGTTAGTTTGGGTGTGTGGTTTCGTTTTTTTTTTTTTTTTTTTTTTTTTTTTTTTTTTTTCCCAGTCTGCATTCATGAGTCTCAACAAGCTTTTGGGTTTATTGGTAGCAGTGATTTTGGTGAAACCTGTCATGGCCACATGCCATTTTTGTCAGTAACTCGTACTTTGCTTTGGATTTTTGTGCCTATAATGAAGTCTTGCATTTCCCAGCTTTCTTAATATTGGTATGTGTTGTTCTGCCTCAGTCTTTTGCAATTAGTTTTGGGATGGTTTGGGTATTCTTTTTATAAGCAGTATTTTTGTTTCTGGCCACCTTCAGCTTACCCTGTGTGTGAACATGTGTGACTCCTTGATTCCCACCCCACAACTTGGTCCAAACTTTCTGATAATCTAACTCAGTGGGAGGGAGAGATGACTGAAAATCTAAATGGGGCAGCTTAGCTAATTGCCTTAGGCCTGACTCGTCTGCTGGATAACACTGGTTTTATTGCAGCCCAACGTGATTGACATTTGGGGAATTGCACTGGTATAATGCTGGCAGCAGTAGTGAAAAATCTGCCCTATTGTTTCTGATACATTCGCTGTCTGAGGAGGATCTTTTTGTTTCAAATAACTATCAGAAAGGCAGTGGAGTGAATAATGGAGTGAATTTACTTTTTCTTTAAATCACTGCCTTTTCCAAATCCCAGGAAAAAAATATGAGTGAAAGTAATATCCTATGTACTAAAAGTTTGCCTTGTTCTGTGTTTTTTTCAGGCTTTTTTTCTTGGATTTTATTACTGGAAAACTCTCTAATGACAAATTTGCTTAGGTAAGTGAAGCAAGATTTTTTTTTCCTGTGAATTTTTTTAGAATCACTTCCCCTATCTTAACTGCTTTTGCATGTTGGGTTGTAATGTTGAGCTGCCAGCCAGCTGTGCTGCGTGTGCTGTGGTTAAAGGCTAGAAAGATGTTGTAAACAAAAGTAGGGGTAATGTCTCTAGTATGACATAAGGACCTCATTTATTCATTTAATCAGATGAAGTGGACGTGGTGCAGAATAATGAAATACAGGTTATATCTGCATATTACTGCATAATCTCATCACTTTATGAATTTTCTTTCAAGAGATGGTCTACGTTTTTTTCCCCACTGGAAAATAAACTTGTTGCTATCACTTAATGCCATTTTGTTATGAAATGCAACCTTCATGCTTCCAGGTCTTCAGATACAGCTGCTCTTCTTCCATCCCTTTCTCTTCCCTCTTTTCTTCAGGCAGGAGCTTCTTATATGGAAAAATTATAAAAAGCTTGAGAGTTGTTTTTTTTTAGCCTAAAAGACAGGAGAACATGAACAAATTTAACACCCCCTCCCTTTGATCTTCTGAACCCCATCTACACCTCTAAAATGCAGATTCCACATAATTGATGATTGACAGGATTTCTAAGTGTTGATTGAAAGCACGTGGTCTCATCTATTCCTAAATATCTTTGGGGGGTTCTGAGCACAAATCCAGTGCTGCAGTGCCATGGATGGTGGGTGGAAGAAGTAAAAGTGCTGCTGTACCAAAATGTACTGTGTGTGTTTTCCTGTGTGGTGGAGAGAAGACTTGACTGAGCTCTGATGCAAGACAAGAAGTCAGTCCCTAGATAACACAGCTAATTCCATGTTAGTTGGAGTTGATTGTTGATCCTGGATGAGGCCAAAAGCAACTTGCAGTGTTCACGTGGGAATATAGTGTCCTAACATCTACCCTGACAAAAGTGCTGCTACTCTTTGTAAAGTGTCTGTAAAAGGCTTTTATTTTTTTCTCCTGTCGCTGCTTTCTGCAGTGCCCACCCTCTCTTCCTTTTGATTTCCTTCCCGTGAATGGTCAGCACAGCAGCTTCTCTCCTTGGGATGAGGGACCTTGGTGAAATAAAACTGAGTGTCTTAAACCTGAAGTCTTCTCCAATCTGCTTTTCCCTGTTACTTGTCCCTCTTCAGGGAGGACTTTAGAAGAGTGAAGACAGACAAGAGGGGCTTTTGAGTTCCCTTTGGTTTTCCTTTTAGGTAGCTGATCAGAGTTTATCTCTCTGCCCTTCCTTTGCCAGGGTGCTGAGCTCAGGGTATTTTGTGTGGTGTAGCTTTTGTCTTTTCCCAAAACACACAGGAGCTGGCTGATGGACTCCAAAGTGTGAGCGAGCCAACAGAGGTGGACAAGTCCTTAGCAGAACACTGAGAACATGTCAGAGATAGATTGTTGCTTGGGATCCAGCCCTGCATTGCTCCTGAGACATGCCACTGCAGTGTGCTTGAGGTTCCCCCATGTCTCTCTCAGCTGCTTGAGCAGTGACTAATTTGCAGCCTGAGGCTGTATTTATTGATGCCACTGCCTGTCCAGAGGATGAAGAGGACTCTGCAGATGAAGGAAGTATTTAGGCATCAGTTTTAAGTCCTTTTAATTTTGTATATTAGACACATCTATGAATATATGCAGACCGAGCTAATAAATAACCAGGGAATGGTAGTTAAGAGGAAAGGACATCATTAATTCTGTCATGTACTCTGTTTTAAAGTTGGGTCCAGAGCAGTAATGTGTTAGGCTGGGAAGGTAAACACTGTCATTATTCAGCAACAAAACATGTACAAGGCTGACATTGTTTTCCTCCTTTTGATATAATAATTTTCTTTGCAGTGGCTGGAGAATCTTTGGTGGTCTTTGGTGTGGTAGGAGCCTGATGAAGCCCTACCCTTTCCCTACTGAAGGGTCAGTGCTCCTTTATTTGAATTGAGTTTTGTATTAATGCTTTGCTGACACAGAACGTGTGCTGTTCCAGAAGGCTCTTACTGTTTGCTGCGGTTGGGGTGCTTGGCTGGAATTCCTGCAATATAGTTTGGAGGGAGGTATTTCTCTTTCATCAGGTGATCCCTTTTCAACTCCCCACACTGCAGTGTTAACCCAGGTCAACTGTCACATTAAAAAAAAAAAGTCACATGTCACATTAAAAAAACAAAATTCCTTTTTGTGCAGATGCTGTTAAAAAGCAAGCATGAGTTTACCTTGTATATTTTTTTTTCCTCCTCCAACTACACCAGTGTGTAGAGAAAAGGTTTGCCTTCAGCAAATGCAACTTTACATGGTCCTTCAAGGTTAATGTGTTTGGATATCTTTTAGTGGGAGAGGGATTTGGGGGAGTCCTTGCTTTGCATTTTAAAGCATCTAAAGTTGCTGTGAGAATGATGATAGATTTGCTAAAAGGAATAGTTGTCATGGTAAAAAGTTACCTAAACAAGATAGTTTACTTTTCAGTATGTATGAGCACTAATAGTAGGAAAAAAAGCTAAAGTGACTGTAGTTTGAAGTTCCCCCTGCTTGCTGTTACTCATAGCAAAGCCTCTCTCCTCTCCTTCATACCTCTCATTTTAGCAGATTTTTTGATGTATAGTTACACACATAGAAAAACAAGAAAAGACTTAATGTACATATTTCTATCTTGACTGTGGTCCACACAACCCACCCTGAGTATCAGATCACTGGAGTTTGCATAAGTGAAGATGTGTGTATCCAAAGTGGCTTGGTGTTGTTCAACCCCTCAGTGCCTCTTCCTGTTGAGTTTTCTTACAAGTTTTGCAGCTCTGGCTCTTGCAGCAGAAGTCTTGGACAAAAAACACTCATGGAGACACCAGTGGAATAGCTGATGCAGCTCAGCAGCCACCTCCTAAAATAAGTGGTGGAAGGATGCCTGTTTCTCTTAGCAGTATTTTCTTTGGAAGATAAGCATCTCCTCAGCATGTCCTTGGCTTTGTGTGTCCCTAGCAAACTGCAGCACTGAATACTCCTCCTTCCAGTGTTCCCAGCTCAGTTTAAAAGTTCTTGATTCAGAGTATTTCTGTGGTCTTTCAAGCTCTGCTCTGATTGCAGAACTCCCAGGAATTGGGAGAGGGAGTTTTTCCTTTGGATGGATTGGAAAGAAGTTGTGCGTTGTCAACTTGCACAAGGTCTTTCTTCAAAGTATGAAGTTTTTTTTAGGGGGAAGGATCTCTTAAAAAATTACTAGCCCTTGGTGGGTGGCATGAACAGAATTGACTGGAGGGACAATTGTTCTGTGGTTCATGTGCTGTTTATTCTGTTTATTTTGCAGCCAGTGATGTTTTTATATTGCTGAGGCATATGGAGGGATTCCCAGCTCCACAAGCATGACCCTGGGGGAGATTAGCTGGTTTTAGGTTTCACCACTTGGATGATGAGGTTAGCCTGAGACAGAGATGCATCCCTGTGTATGGAAATGGTCTTGGCCCCGATCTTGTCTGGCCATGTAAAGCCTGAGAAAGGACCAAGAGGTCAGGTTCAGCTTTTTAAGGAATGTAATGTATGGTCATTCTGTGGCATGTGTGGACTGCTGTTTTTTTTATTTTAAAAAGGGCAAAAAATTTACTTGCAAGCTTATGTGTTTTTTTAACACACTAATTAGAGCTACAATTAGCTCTAAAGTAGAATCTGCTTTACAGCTATATAAATATTTGTATCTCTGATACTGAAATACTAATGCTAAAGAACCTCAAGAGGTTTTTTCATAGCTACAAAGCAAGGAACGTTTCTCCCATTCTCTGCCTCTTAGCACCTTTCTTCCACTTCACCTGCTTCCCTCCTAATGAGCAAAGCAACATCCTCAATCTGCACACTCTGGGACTTTATTTTTATGCATCTATAGCTGTCTTAAGTAATTACTCTGCAGTTCTAATACTTGTTACAGAAGTGAGCTCCTCTGCTTGTGTCAGTCAATGGCATCTAGAAAACTGAAGCTCTGAAGCAAGCTAAAATGGATAGAAACTTGTTTCCTCTTTGCTCACATGGGCACTTACTCACTTCCCCATCTGCTTCGACTTTGAAGACTGCTGAGGTTCTTCCTCTGTCTGACCCACTTGGCATAAGCTAGAGAGGATTGTCTTTCTTCAATAGCCAAGTTTATAGGGCTTCAGCTTGTTCATAAATAATCCTTAGAGTTTTGAGTGCTGCCTTTCTCCTTCTTTCCCCTTCAAAACTGACTTGCCGTCATTTATGTTCAAACTGGGGGAATATTTTATCAGTAGATAAATAGAGGAGAAAATCTGTGCAATCACCAGACACTAGAGGTTGTAAAGTGTGCTGAGGAGAATTCACTAAGGATCTGTGATTTTAAGTATTTACCTCGTCCACTTTCAGTTTGTGATCCCAGCACAAAAGGGCTGTAGAGGAGGGCTTTGCTCTGCTAGTTTTTTTACAAGCACAGGCTCAGAGTACAAAATACAGGACTTAGATATGCAGAGGCATCTTTATAGGAATGTGTAAATATTTAGTGTTCTTCAGAGAAGGACAAGGTGTTGCTCTGCCTTTGCTTTCACACTTAAGTACCTGCACCAGTAACTGGTTTGCATGTGTGAATGGTTATTTTAAGGTAGCATTAAAACTCACTTTCAGCTCTGCTGAGGTTCTGCAGACCAGCCTCTGCTGATTGGAACTTGGAGGCCTTCATGTGGTCCTTCTGGCCTCCTGGTAGCAGGGGATAGCAACCCTCTGTGCCAAGTTAGGCTGTATTTTTGTCCTGCTTTGAACATGTGGGATTCTAAGTATCTCCTATGAGATGTATTAGTAGTGTAAACAAACTGTTTTGTTAGTGTAAGCTCTTTATCCTGATAGGATTGGAGACATCTTATAAAGCAATCACTGTAAATTTAAAACTAATATTTGGCATTATTTAAATAAACATAAATCAAGATAGTATACAAACAACACAAGTTCCCAGCCCAGGGACCTGAGAGACAGACCTACTTGGATGTAGCCTGTGTACTTTTTGTCCATTTCCCTGTTAA